TGCGTAGTAAGATGTTCATCTTCACCACTACTATGCGTCCCAACAAAGAGATATGTGGTAATGTCCAGTCGACCAGGTTCTTGCAGATCATGGTCAGTAGTGGCGTGAAGTTTGTTGCATAAAGCTGGGAGAGATCTTTCGTGATCCGGACACCCAGGTACTTCACGGCCCCCTAAGCCAATAGGAATTGAATGTTTTTGCGCTCTCTAGCGGATTTGGCAGCAGGCATTGAAACATTAAGCAGGGTTGATTTAGAATAATTGATTTTGAAGTTGAAGAGTTTCCCATAAAGGTCAAATTCCCGCATGGTGTTTGATAGCGTAGTCTTGGAGGAGGTCACGAAAAACATCAACTGCCACTTTATGTTTGTCATTCCCAGCCCGAACCCTCCTGATCTCTGAGTTTCGTCTCACTGCTTGCAGGAGTGATTCGAGAACCAGGGCAAACAGCAGCGGCGACAGCAGACAGTCTTGCCGTGTTCCGTTTCTGATGCGGAAAGACTCAATGTAGGCCCCGTTAATGCAGACCCTTGCTGTTTGGTTGTCGTAAAGGGCTGTGTAACAGTTTAACAGGAGTTGGAGCCCAGTTGCAGGAGATGGCACAGGGAGGAGGCAAAAAAATAAAAGCACAGTACAGATAAAGGGGTAATCCAAAGGCAGGGTCAAACAAGAAGCAGAAGGGCTGGCAGCGGAGTATAGCAGGCAGAGGTCAGAGTCCAGGAAATCAGTCAGCAGAGTATCAAAGATCCATCAGGAAAAACCAAACAAACAAAATGACCAGATACTAGGTCTCAGGCAAAGCTGGCTTTCACAGCCTGCTGATTAGGAGTAGCTAACCCTAACTGGTAAGGGGCTGCAGGTGGATCAGCACTGCTCCATCCAGGCAAGGAGTCAGGAAGCAGAATAATGCAGAGAGATGCTGAAGCCCCCTGGTTGATAGAAATGTATAGAACCCGACTGGGATGCTGGAGCTGTGAGTTTAAACCCAATCAGGTCTCTTAAAGGGGTGGCCACGCCTTGCTGTCTGCAGGGCTCGAGGTGCACTGTGACAGGCTGTCACCCAGGCGTGCATGTGCGGGCCCAGTCCAATAACCCATAATGTGTGAAAGAGGAAGTCCCAGCTCACCCTGTCAAAGGCCTTCTCTGCATCCGTGGATAGGGGGACAAAACCCACCTGATCAGACTTCACAAGGTTGGGTAAGTATGGATTCAATCTAGTTGCCAGGATCTGAACAATTTCAGATCGCAATTTGAGAACAAGATGGGTTGGTAACTGGCACACTGATCCACATCCTTGCCCTCTTTATGGATCAGAGTGATGGTTTGGTTTGCCATGGTTTGTGTCGCAAGCCTCTGTCCTTCCGTGGAGTTGAATGTCTTCAGGAGTTGTGGGTACAGAACATCTGCAAATTTCTTATAGTAGCGGACAGTCAATCCGTCTGGGCCCGGGCTTTTGCCAGGTTTAGTGGCCTTTACACTTCAGCCACTTCTTCTATGGACAGAGGTGATTCCACAACCCTTTTGGCATCTTCCGTCAGTTTTGTGTGAATGTTAGCTTCTAAATAATCTTGGATGGCTTCCATCCTTCAGTTTGGTCGAGAGCGGTCCTGATCCGTCCCCGTTGAGTATAGAGATTCATAGTATAATTCCCGTAAATAGGCTATGTAGGACTTCGATTTCTGTTTGTTGATCATTTGGGCAAGTAGAATTGCGCTTTAGTGTGTTGAAGGGAGCAAAGGTGTCGCTGATGAAGGAGGGTTGACAGTTCACGTAGTAATGCGGCCAGATCCTGAAAGGTGTTCAGGGTCGGGCGGGACTTATGCAGGAGTTCCATTCTTTGAATGTCCTCAGTAAGTGTACGCACTCTCTCTTCCCTTTCCCATGATCCCTGTTGCATGAAGAATCCCCTAATGGTGCAATTATGTGCTTCCCAGACAGTCTGGGCAGAAACCTCAGGGGTCGTGTTGTCAGAGAAGTAGTCCATCAGGGCAGTGCGTGCATCCTGGGAGACCAATGGGTTGTCAAGGAGTGTCTAATTCAGGTTCCAGTTGATTGTCTCGGGCCTTGAGAGCTGGGACATCAGGCTCACCGAGAGTGGGGAATGGTTGGACCAGGTCATTGGGCTATAATCGGCCTTACATACCGTATGGAGGAAATAATAAGGCACAAAGAAATAGTCCAGTCGGGAGTATCTAGCATGGGGTATAGTATAGTGTGAATAATCCCTTCCATCTGGGTGTAAAGTCCTCCAGCAGTCTGTGAGTCGGTGAGTGCGTAGGAGACTCCTGATCATCTGGAGTACGTCGATGTGCCTGTGGAAGTCACCCCCCCAAAATCAGTATGTGCCCCACAAAGGTCATGAACTGGCCTTTTCGTCAGTTCTGGGCGTAAATATTGGCAAACGTGTATCTGTGGCCCAAAATCTCCCCCTTGAGGAAAATGTATCTCCCATCTTGGCCTACAAGCCTCGCGCAATGATATAAGGAGATGGATTTGTGAATGAGGATAGCTGTGCCCTTTGATTTGCCCTGGGGTTGTTCTTATAATAACACATGGAGTAAAGGTGATTGGTCAGTATCGGGGAAAAGCCTTCTTTAAAGTGGGTTTCCTGTACATATACTATGTGTGCTCTTTGTGCCTTAAACTCCCGCAATGCAAGAGAGCGCTTCTCATGGGTGTTAGGCTTTTTGTGTTAATTGATATCAGTTTCAGGTCCATTGGCAGGAAGGGAGAGGTATACAGCTGCCCCAGCAGGATAGAGCCCAATTACGCTCAGTTGTCACGGGCCACGCGGTTGATGGGTCAGCAAGAGAAGCCAAATGCTAGACATGGAAGTAGTAGGTGATAAAGCCCAAGGTAGCAGCCCCAGTTATGGGGGGAATTGGCAATGTACTAGAATAACAAGTTAAATAGTAGAAACCTAAGTTGTAATCGTTAAAAGTGACCGAGTTGAGTCGAGATTCCCACCAAGGCCCATTGAGTCTGGGAAGCCCACCCTCTCTAATACTATACGTCACTAAAACAAACTGGGGGGGTTAGCTAAGGTACAAGCATCCAGTGAATGTCTGTTAGGAAGTAAATTTCTCATGAAACACGTATCTTTCTCGTATCCCGATAACTCGGTCTAAGAGCCAGTTGAACAGTATGACAATCCCAAGGCTAAGAAATTGGAGCTACAGGGGTAGTCAGATCACGTTGTCGGTATCTATTATGTGAGCGTCGTCTGTGTGCGATGCCTAAGAACATGGCATCATATAAAAGGCAATCGAGTGTAGGTCAAGTTCAGAGCCCATTTTAACAGTAATTAACATGGTGCGATAAAAAAAAGAATTAAGAAATACAGGCTCATGTACAACAGTGAGATCAGAGTACGTGTGAAGTCTCTAAGAACATTCCACTCATAGTACACCAGCAAGATAGTTGCTGTCCTGCGCTACCATGTTAGGCAGACATAAAGGCCAGAAATGCTGTGGGTGGCGACAGACCATGGAAGTATTAGGATGGCAGAACAGAATACATTAAAAAAAAAAGAAGCATAAAGACAATTAACATAAAGTAAATAAACAGTAGGAACAATATGCCAATATCAGTAAGCGTATTATGGGTTTTAAAAAAGCTTCTCAGTACCGTGAGTGAAGATTGCCCCGGGAGAGTACTGGTCAAGCAAGTTGTGCACCAGGAGCCAGTTTGGAAAAAGGAGTAAAAGGACAATATGGATAATAATAATAATAATTAAAAAAAACACCTGTGAGTCAGTTGCCTTGGGTTCATGAAAGCCAGTTCACTGGGCTAAGTCAAAAGAGGCATGGCGGGTTGTAGACCGTAAAGTAAGAGGTGAAGTCCCCAAGTCGGGGTTTGTGCAGGTGTGGTCACCTGAGCCTTTCGCGGGCCAGCTGCGAAGGGGTGAGGTCTTCTCCGAGGCAGGCAGCCAGGCAGCGTGAGTTTAAAGTGGGGAAAAGGAGGAAAATAGAAGGGCAGGGGGAAGTGGAGGGGGAACGTGAGGAGGGGGACTAAGAGGAAAGGAGAAGGGGAGCAGAAGGATGGGGAAAAGTGCGTAAGAAGAGGGGAGATCAGAGGCAGGGTGGGGGATGTTTCCGCAGTCAGGACTTGTAGCCACATTGGGTCCTGCCTGGGTATCTGTGGGAGCAGTCGGTGGTAGCTGTTGTAAATCAGAGAATGAACCCGCAACTAGAGTATGCAGCCTTATGGATCCCTGCCAAAGGTAGCGTCAGGGCAAGTCTCTAGGAGTGTGACAGTCACAAGACTTTGGGGATACCGTGTAGTTAAGCCGGGGTTCTGGCAGTCATCTAGCGGGGTCTGCGGTCCTTCTGTGGAAGGGCAGCCGCCCGTCCTGTCGCCACTAGGTAAAACTCAGTAGGTTCCGCCCATTTTGTGTTTAGTGGCAGGAGAGATATCAAGGTCCCCAAATGAACCAGGTCGGCATGAGATCCAAGGACCAAAGGGGCATCAGGGCTGGTCACTGATAGTCCAGTAGGGAAGAGACACCTATATTGAACCACTTCGATTGTAGGGCTCACGTTAGAGGCTTCAGCATCCTTCTGTAGTGGGGTGTGGCAGGCAAGAGATCTGTAAAGAGCTGCAGGTCAGATTGAAGGTGGCGAATCAAGCCAGCATCCCTAGCAGCATGTAGAATAGCCTCCCATTCGGCGAAAGACTCCAGGCAGCAGATCACATCTTGTGGCGGAGCCTCTGGTTGGCCCCTTGGTCGCAGGGCACAGTGCGCTCTAATGAACGCTAGCTTGGTCGATGGGTCCCTGGAAAGCAGCTTATTGAAGATCAGCTATAAGGTAGTGCACAGTTGTGCATGGGATTCCTCAGTGTCGGGGAGGCCTCGCAGCCGCAAGTTGTTTCGCCACCCCCGGTTATCCAGGTCTTACACATGGAGTGCAAAGTCCAACAAATATTCCGCTTGTCGTTTGGATGTGTCAGGGGTGAGTGTCTGATCTGTCTGGAACATGTCACACATGGCCTCCAGGCGGCTCACACGGTGGTTAAGGCCTTACAGGTCATCTTGGAGTAACTGTATGTCGGCTCTGAATAAGGTCTGGAGAGCGCTGTTAGTGGCCGCCAGGTCGACAAGACTCGCAGCAGGGACATCCAGTCCTTCTCCTCCAGTGTTGGTGACTGGTACTCCGGAGAGAAGCATGGCGAGCTATTGCTCTGGTCGTCGAAGGCCTCCTCCGACGCGGGCAGGAGAGCTATTGGCGGAGAGAGATGGGGTAAGAGACCCCTTTTTGGAGTCAGCCACCTTCTGGGCAGTAAAGGGTCTGTTAGTTTTCCCCATTTTGGTCAGTGAAAGTGGGATTATCATTCTGATTAACACAAGGCAGTGGATCAGGAAAGATTAAGCAGCCATCTTCCTTCAGAGCCAGGCCCCGCCCCCAAACAGCCACTTTTAATACCATTGTTTGAACAATTTAATAAATACGAACATTTTTATGTCCATTTGTGCATGTCTGTATCTATGTGTTTGTCTCTATGGGCAGTGTAGAACTATGTAAAAACAACTGTATGTATGTGTACTATGTGTGTGTGTGTGCATATATTGCATTCCACAGCAGTTGGAAGGGAGAGGAAATGACATTATTTTGCACTCCAGCTGCTATGCAATAAATGAATAATTACATAATATAAATATATATTGTAGCAGTGTAATTTTTAATTGCTTTTTTATTGTGAATCTTAACAGACAGAGTAGCAACAATTTACTTGTCAGCATGAATAAATTAAATTATAAAACTTTCACTATAAAAGAACCACTTTTTTCATGTTACATAAAGTGCAAATTGCATTAGCAATTGGTACTTTTATAAATTAACCATGTTACACACATTGAATAATGTCAATAAGAACACTGGTGGTGTTACTTGCTGGCTGTTTGGCTCAAAAGGGAGGCAATTGTTCAAAGCACCTTCCTTGCAAAAACATCTCATTCAGTTACATTGGGAGGTCTGGGATTTGATAGCCACAGAAAGTCTTCTCTGAGTTAGAAGGGGAGGTTTTGCAATGGCTGCAGACAAGAGATCTGCAGTTTTTGCAAGCTATAACTATAACCCTATGGGTTTGGAAGGCAAAAGCTACCAAACATATATTGATATGTTCTAATTTAAAAGTAATAGACAGCAAGGACTGTAGGAGTTTATTTTGGCTGAGGACCTAAACTGCCATGTTCTTCTCTAAATTGAACCTTCACCACAAAATTCACTTGACGTTGGTAAAAAGCAGAACCTCTTATTTAACATTACAGTACATCAATCCCAGCAATGAGCAATGTCAGCTCACCATAGCACCCAAACAGTAAACACCTATTGTTTTACTCTATTGAATATCATGAATTGAATTGAAATCTCCAGTTCTGCTCTACTTGCACCAAATATTGCACAATAAAGTGTACTCACAACAGAGAGCAACTATCCCAAAGAGATTGGTGTAAAAAAGGTAGCTGACAGGGTAATTTAGCATTATAAAGTCTTTTGAGAAGCTCTTTTTTATTGTTAACTCCTATCTGACGATTTTGTTACGGTATCACCTTTATTATACTACACCTATCTGTGTCAGAATACTATACTCAGCATTAGATTATATCTAAGCAACAGTTTTTAAGTTCCCCGGTGGTTTCCTATGTTTGTTTTCTCACTAAAATATTTAAAGAATTGTACAGGGAAATGATCATCAATTGAGATAACACAAGGTAAACCATCTATATATAGTTTGCTATAGTTATTGTAAGTTAAGGTATGTAATGTTGCAGATACGCATCTCATCTTACTGTTAAAGGGACACTATAGGCACCCAGACCACTTCATCTCATTGAAGTGGTCTATGTGCAGTGCCCCTGTCCCAATAATTCTGTTTCTCTAAAACTGCAATGTTTTGCATTGCAGAGTTAATGGGACAGGGTCACTGCACCCAGACCACTTTAACCCCTTAAGGACCAAACTTCTGGAATAAAAGGGAATCATGACATGTCACACATGTCATGTGTCCTTAAGGGGTTAATGAGATGAAGAGGTCTGGGTGTGCATAGTATCCCTTTAACAGTAAGAATTAAAATTGACTCTAGATGCTGTCTCTTAGACAGCCACTAAAAGGTGCTTCCTGCTGTTTCACAGAGATTAACTCCATGAAACAGCGCTGCATGTCCTCACGCTTTGCATGAGGACATTCAGCATCTTCAAATTCCCCAAAGGAAAACATTGATTAATTGATTATGAGCTCTGCTATTTAAACAGTTTATGTCAAAGAACCTGTTACATATTGTGTGTACTTTTTAAGATGCCTATTTAATTAGTGAATTTGTTATACCGCTGGACCATCATGTTTTGTTTCTTGGCACTTTGACTTCATGTATCCGTGGATAATAAATATAAAATATAAATATGGATAATAACTATAAAATAAACCAATTGAAACCAATGTAACTTAGAGGGAAACTAAATCTAGAAATTAAAAAAAAAATTAAAATATGAAGTAGGGCAGTTAGAGCATTTAAATCAGACAAGGCATCCTATAAAACAAGCGGTCCCAACTGAGTCCTCAAGTACCCCCAAGAAGTCCAGGATTTAGGGATTACCCTGTTGTGTCTAAAGTGTTTTTTTTTTTCTAAAAACAGTTAGTGGGTACTTGAGGACTGGGTTGGAAACCACTGCTATAAAAGATATAAGGGAGTCAATAATGCATGCAAAAAGTCAATTAGATACAATAAAATGAGGAAGTGATGGCCAAAAAGAGGAAAACCAACCCAAAAAGATTTTATAAGTGCATACATTTTTTAAAAATTCAAGTGTAGGTACACTGAAAACTGGGAGTGTTCATTAATGAAGACCAGGAAAAGGCAGAAATTGAAGATTATGCTAGCTTTAGTGTACTAATAATCTTAATTTTAATAATGACAGGAGGCGAGTATTTTGCATAATCTCTCTTTACTAGCTCCGCAGCAGCAAAGAAACACATAGAAAAAAAGAACCAATCACAGGAGAGCAGGATGTACATAAGGCAACGTGACCTGATCATTCCCTCTTTCAGAAAGCGACAAACAAGCAGAAGTAAATATATAGCAAACAATAAAGTTAATAATAACTCCAAGTTCCCACGTGCGAAGGAGCAGACTTCCCAAGAATTCTATACGAACAGCGAAAAGGAGTTCAGGGTTGAGTCAAATCCGAAGGATAAAATCTCCAATAGTTTCACGTGAACTGACAATTATCTTCAGAGACGAATTATACTGAAAAGAGAGTGTGTGACAGGTTTAGACATAGTCACAAACATGTAACTCCAATTAACGTACCACATCACATCCCATTGGAGAATATAGTAACTATAATCTGATAACTGAGTAATTGTAATGAGAACTCTAATAAGGACTCCATATTAATGGAAGTACAAACATATCATATAAGCACCAATGTGAGAGGCAAACGTACATTAGCCCCTGATATCTACAAAGCAAACGAGTAGAAAGGGTGGGCAGCGAAGCGGGGGGGGAAATACTCGCCTCCTGTCACTATTAAAATTAAGATTATTAGTACACTAAAGCTAGCATAATTTTAAATTTTACCACATGACAGGAGGCTTCGTATTTTGCATTTTTAAAGCTGAGAAAAGAATATACTAAATAAGAGTCCTAAGGTGTGCCAAGAGACCCAGTATTTTGGCATTGTGGGGAGGTCTTCCCCGTTGAGCACCCACGTATACGCCATATACCGGGAAATTATACAAGACCAAGTCTGACCGTCTGTCAGCAGGATGTCTAGTCCTGTAGAGTGAAAGGAGAGCGACTTCCACAACCCATAAGCTGGAGGTTTGTCATTGGGTAGTTGGTATCCTAGAGGATCCTAGTCCATTGGGCGTCCTCAGGTAGTGATACGGGATGTAGTTCCATCTCCATCCTCAAATAAGGGATCAAGATGCAGGACCGAACCAGACAGGCTGGAAATGTCCAGATGTAGGGGTAGAATCGTCGCATCCCTGGGTTCCCAGATTCCCAAGAGCTCCCCGGCAGCCTGCGATCGTCTGCCAACCTGCCAAGAAACCCCCAAAGTGGGTCCAGATCCCCAGGTAGCCGACTCTCCCAGGATAGAAGATGTGAGCACCCTATGGCTCCGTGAGGAATTGTCGGACATATATGTAGTAGGAGAAGGTCCTCAATGTCAGAGAATTTCTGTAGACCTTGTAAGCATGAGAAGCATGAGTCCCTCAGGGAGGTCCGGTCGGAGGGAGTGCGATCACCATCTTGCCTCGACTTATACTGTGACGAGTGGCAACATCCAAAACAGTCGGTCCCTATGAGATGTGTCTCCCCCGGGAGACGGGTTGATCTTCTGTGAAGAAGACAGGGATCGAAGGAGCCTACATGTCTGATAAAAGTGAGTTGGTCCATCCCAGTGGATGTGAAACCTGACCGCCTAATCTGTGGTCACCTGCAGTAGGGTGTAGCTAGTACTTCCTTATCAATCCATGTATTGTGAAGTATAGGACCAAGAAGTCTAGGTATACAACGTACAGGGTCGTGGTAGTGCCGCGGAGAGTCGTACGAATATTCCCACGGCGTGGAATAGTCTATGAATCCTCTAAACGAATAGTCTTCTACAAGTCTGGAGGTTCCAGCCGGTTCTCGGATGAACATGGGTGTTGACGAGTTTTCAGTTCCCTGGAGTGATCTGTATGAGGTTCTCCCGGAAGAGAGTGCCTCCATTGGTCACTGTAGTCGTCTGAGCCGTTCTGACCGGCATGGAAGGGCACGGGTTTGTCCAACCATCAGCGGATATGGACATTCTAAGCAAGAGGCTGCAAAACCACGAGTGCATAATGTTGTCAAGTAGGTTTATCGTAGTAAGGGATACCCCTGTGTGAGGCACAAATCAGTATTCAGGTACAGGATGCAGGGCAAACAGATCAGTCTACTATGACAGTAGGCAGTGTTCATGGAAACCCTTGCGGGTCGCATTCCGAATCGTGGCCCAATAAAACAGACTGGGGCTCACCCAGTACATAGAGGTTGCCATTGCCTCCGCTCAGCAGCACCGATCAGCGCATATATAGTGGGGGCTCACCCCAGGTGCACAGGGTATGAACCCTTAAGTGCTGGCCATCGCCCTGATAGAGAGTGTCAATCACCTCTTCCATTATTAAATTCACCTCAATTTTGGCCAGTGTTTGTTACTAAGTGGCTACTAAAAAAGACTGCACATACCCCATT